TATATATATATATATATATATATATATATATATATATATATATATATATATATATATATAAAGAGAGAGAGGGAGAGAGAGAAGGAGAAAGGGAGAGAAAAAGGGAGAGAGAAAGAGAGAGGGAGAAAGAGAGTCCCGGCTCATCCGCCAGAGACCCTGTAGTGGATTTGTTTATACGGGCCGAAGTAAAAACCTCTTCAGCCTTTTTTCTTCTTCCTTTGGTTTTATATTAATTATATGCTGCCTGTTTCCTGTTCTTTTTCTTCTTTCTTTAGTTTTCTGGTGTTGTTCTTCTTGTATTCTTCAGTTTCCTGATTGCAGTTGCTCGGAATTGAGGGTTCGCTCGCACCAACCGTCGAAACTGCTGCTTTTCAAAGGTCGAGGTGTGGTGCTCGAACCGTATGGGGCGGTTTGTGCCTGAGTCGGTTTGGTCAGACGAGGCAGAATCATCAGGAACCTCAGTAACGCACGCAAAGCTAACGGTGTTTTCTCTAAATTCTCTAGGGTCTATTTCAGGAAACTCCTTGGATATCCTGTGTCGTGGCAGTGAGGCGAGGTATTCATCATCATCATCCATTTCTGAAAGTGGTTTTTCCGTTTTCTCTCGCGGAGGTTCGTCTGTGTCGTCATGCACCGCATCTCCGTCACATTCTGCTGTTGTTGATAGCTGCTCCGCCCCCTCCTTCTGCTGCTGCTGGTCTTGAGGCGGTAAGAGCTCTAGACAGGTGCAGACCCCACTGGACTCTGATGGGGATCGTGCGATCCCACCTACGTCTGTCCATTCATCCGCATCGCCACCCTCAAGCTCGTCCTTCAGTCTGAGAGCCTCAATGCTGTCTAAGCCATGAACAGGGCAAATGCTGTGCCACATATCTCCTACCGTTGTAATCAGTTCCTGCTCTTGCATCTCTTGTTCTTGATTTGTCTCTTTATTTTCCTTATCTTCGCTTTTTATTTGTTGCTCATCTGCTTGGATCTGTTTACTCTCCTCTTTTGGTTCTTCTTTCGCATCTCCAGGCTTTTCCTCTTTCACCTCTTCTTCCTCCGCGTCTCCTTCCGCCCCCTCATCCTCACTCTTAACACCATCGCTGCATTCGCTGTCAGTGTACTCTTCACCGTCGGTGTACTCTTCGCCGTCGGATTCATCTGTGTATTGCAATTCGAATTCAACTCCTAAGTCTGTTAGGTCTGTCTCGAAACACAACTCTGCCTCTGTACCTGAAAACTGTGCAGACGTCGCTTCATCACAGCTTGTGCTCTGTGGTGAGCTAATATGCAGCACCCAATCCTCCCCTTCACAAACGAGAGGTAAAGCGTCCGCTCCTAATATCTCTAGAGTTTCCAATACTGCCTGTTCCCCGTCTACGTTGAGCCCCCCGTTGTTGTCGCTGTCGCAGTTGTTGTCGTTGTTATCCTCGTTTTCTTCTTGTTCCGGGCTACTGACTTCACTTGACGGAAAGTACGGTGTTGCCGCACGTAACTCTGGCACGTGATCCCCCATTTCTTGAGTCATTGTTTCAACCGCTGCTTCTGATGCCGCTGCTTCTACGACTTCTGCTGTTTCTACTGTTTCCGCTGATTCTGCCGTTTCTACTGTTTCTGCTGTTTCTGCTACTTCTGCTACTGCAGCTGCGGCAACGCTGTCTCTCGCAGCCACCGGTTGGTGGCTGGTCGTGCTTGCTTGGGCGGGGATGCCAGCCAGGGGCTCCGTCGCGCTCACACCCTCAGTGTTGAGGCGCGCAGCCCTATTGGAAGCCCAAATGTGTGAAGGGAGCATCTCCCAGCGGACGACAGGCCGGTTGGAAGAGTCAGCTTCCACTGCTCTTGCCCACCTACAACTCTGACAGCGTCCAGGCGTCATGGTGAGAAGTGTGTTCCTTCACCTATTATTTGGAGTTCTTAAGTAAAGAATTGTAAGAAAAAGAAGAAAAACGAAAAAAAGATATAGATTGCAGCTTGTCCCCCGTCAAGGCCTTGACTTCTGAATGAAGATGACGCGCAAGAGGTTCTCCTTCGCTAAAGCTTAGCAACAAAGATACCTTTCGCCCTCTTTTGCTTGTTTGCCTTGCAAAAACCAAAGAGATCAGAGACTGAACCAAGAACAAACCCACCGACGATGTGTGCGCAGAGGCCACCAGCTCTCCACTGGTAGGTAGGTGACTCACCGCGGGCGACAGCCACCGCGATGATCGCTGTTTAGCAAAAAGAGAGTGAGCAGAATGCGAGTTTATTCGGAAGCGTCGAATAAAAAGTAGTTTAAAAAACAAAGATTAAAAAGAGTTAACGAAAGCGGATTATAAACACGCAGCTTCCTCCCTTCACTTGACAGAGAAGAGAGAAGAGAGCCTTGGTGGATGTCTCGCTACAGATCGTGTTGGAAGCTCGACGGTTGTGCTGTTCTTCGTTGGTAGATCAGAAGAAGCAACGCAAAGTCCAATGTTTATATGGGCTTGTATATTGTAAAAACAACGTTCAGAATACACCACAAAAAAGTAGTGAATACACACACTGCCTTCTTTTGGCTCGCTAGCCTTCGCGGTGCCGGCCGCCTAGCGGTCCGCAAGGGCTGATGGCCGTTGAGCACAGCTACGGTACGCGTGTGACTGCTGTCTCTGGATTTCTCTGAGAGGACAGGGTAAATAACTTGTTTATAATGTGATTTAATTTTATTACTATTGGTTTTGGTGGGAATCATTCAAGACCCTCTTCTTATTCACGGAGAGTTTCCCGTGGGTGGCCCGACATTTGACTATATGGATGATTATTGCCTGGCCTCGGTTCTGCGGCGTTCGGTCTCACATACGCACCACTGGTCACTTAATTAGATTTTAATGGGTCCTTAACAAATATGTATTCTTTCTAATTGTGTATTCCTGCTGTTCTTTTGGATGTGCAGTAGCAGCAAAAGCTGCAGTAGCTGCCATTTTGAGGCGGGTGAGTGGCGGACGTCACCAGAGGTTCCTGATGCGCTTGCGCCCCCATCAGCTTGAACAACCAGAGCAGCAGTTCGTCATTGACCTTTTTGTTTTTTATGTGCTCGACCCCCTGGTTATATAAGGCGATCTCTCTTTCTCTCCTGGGCATTCTGTGTTCTACGCGCCGTAGAAAATATTTCTCTCCTTACCGCCACTGCCTTTTCTTCGCCTTTCCTCTTCTCAGCAGACGCTCCTAGGAGCCGCCGGCGGCGCATGCAGGCTGGCATGCAGCGGGGGCTGCTGCGTCAGAGGTGTGTTTGAGGGTTTAATGACTTTTTCTTGAGAAACTGTGTCCTTTAATTTGGTTCGTACAGATTATGGTTAAAGTATTGCAGGATATGGGGCCGTGTTTCAGCATTTAAGCACGAACAAGGGAGGAAGCCACCACTGACTATGGTGGCCTCTGTGCGTTCGGCGTCGTTTGCTTCTCGTGGCGATTCTTCGGATGGCAGCGAGGGATCGACTCCGTCTAGCGGCTACGTGGAAGTCGGGCTATCAGAGAACACCAGTTTGTCATTTGAACGGAACCACTCGTTTCTGAACTGGCTGCTGCTTCTTTTTCTTCTTGGAGGCACTTCCATATGCGCTGGGTTCTTCTACTATGCCGTTCCTTTGCGCCATGAGTTGACTGCCACTGTGAGGACGCATCTGACAACCACGCCGTTCAAAGAAGGGCAAAGCTTCTCCCTTAACGCGTACAGCGGGGGCTGGCGAAGCCTCTCGAGTTTCTCAAGAGCTGTAGAGCTGCGTAATATCCGCGTCACCGCTGCCATCCGGCCTGAAACAACTGGATATACAATTGCCGCAGGAGCCATCACCACTTGGGCAGATGTAGAGGCCTGGCTCCTTAAAGTCTTAGCCCCCACTCTCTACACTGGTAGTTTGGGGGGCGCCGTGGTCGTGCAGATGGCCACACTCCATCTGGTCAAAGGCAGTCTCACAGATAACGAAAACCCCAATACAGCGAAGGTCATTTACAAGCGACTCAACTTCGAGGGTGGGGATGAAAGGGCTGACATGCACAGACTGCATAACAAAAGAGGAACCAGAAGCATTTAGACAGGCACATTCTTCTAGGGGCAACTGGTTGAGAGAAAGCTCAGAGCGGGTAGTTGGGAGAGGAGCCGCGTATAGGTTCTTTAAGGGCTTCTCGTGCAGGGCTTCTCATTAGGTATGTTCGTTGGGCCCTGTGTTGTGCCGGTTGCTGATCAGCGGCTGAGGAGAAGACAGTTGATTTCGGCCAACTGCTGGGAGGGACGTATGCTGTGGATGCCACGAGTACCCTCGAATCCCTCAGCAATGAAGGCTGGTGGGGGCCGCTTACGACGGAGGCGACGCTGACAATACGCGGACGAGACGGCAACGGCAACGAATGCAGTGGGTCTAGAGAGGAGAGTTATATATATATATATATATATATATATATATATATATATATATATATATATATATATATATATATATGCATATATATACATACATGCACAGATATATATAACCACACATTTGTGATTCTTGTGCAGCTGCAAAGGTCTCCTTCAAGCAAAGCGCGTCGGGTCTGGTGAAGGCAGATGTGGAGGTTGTCTCGATCCTCTTCTCGGGCAGTGCTTTCGCCTTTGCTTTTTCTGTTCTCTTTTTTGTAGCAGCTATCTGCTACTGCGTCGTCGAGTGGTTTGCCTTCAAGCTTACGAAGAGTACTCGACGGTGTGCTCAACTTATTTGCTCCCCTCACCCCCAAAGCTCTTCCAGTCTCTCTTCTGTGTAGCGAATACAAAATGCCTGCACCACTGAGTTTCACTAATCAGCCTGCACCTTCATTGCATATATTGTTAGAGACATCAGCAACCCTCTGCTCCTTCTTAACTCGACATAACATACAGGCCTGTGAGGGGGCAGATGATAGAGTCAAAGCATACTGTATAATGCTGTATTGTGCAATAAGAATACATTTCATTGCTTGTGGACTTATTGATGGTATGTCGTCTATGTAGGGTAGAGTCAATTAAACATGAAAACTTTTCCTGACATTTTTGTCCTGTTGCACAGTTTCGGAGATGAGCGAAGTCCTCTTTATCGATATTTAGAAGGGCGTTGGCCCTGCATGCTGGTGGCTCTGATGAGCTTGTTGGGATCAGTCCTCATCTTGTCCTGCTGCATCCTGGGCTACGTCATAACGAGTTCGGAGTTCAGTTCCACTCTAATGCAAATTCTCGAAGGTGAAGAAGACGTCGATATGTCATTTCGCAAACGCCCCAGTCAAGGCTTTCACTGCGAATGCTTTTGAACAGCTGAGGCTTCGCGCGGATGCTGCATCCCCCGAACATCCTTCATTATACTGAGCTGGGTTGCGCTGTGCTGTGCTGTGCTTGCGTTTCCTTTATAGTCCTGGAGGGAATAATGGGGGTTGTTTTTATCTTCAGCGGTTGGGTCTTTGTCTTGCGACTTCTGCATGCGCTCTCGGGCGCCAGTATATTCTTTCGAGTGCTAGACAGGAGTAATGTTGTATTCGTCAACGAATTCGGAGGCATTATTGCAGTCACAGTTTTGCTGCTTCTTGGCGCATCGGCCTGCAACTACATTCTCCTCGGTCAGTAACCTGACCCGCGAATAGAACATAACGGGGTGCCCAGCGGCAGGGGGTCCAAGCGACAGCATCAGTACATGCATAAGCAGGCTGAAGAACTCCTCCTGAACTGTGTTTCTTCTTGCGAGATGGATGTGCTTCGTTCTAGACGCATCTACATACTCAGGGGGTTGCTAGTTGTTCCGCAGGGATTGGCGGGGGGTGGCGGGGGGGTTCTGACGGCGTGGGCATAGGTGATAATCGTGAAGTTTCCCGTTTGTTTCCTCCGATGTTTTTGTGTTGTGTCGCTGCCATGCAGGCCCTCGCGTTCCGCAGTTCCGGACATTCCTCTCATCTATATTTTACACGGTTTGCTTGAGCTTTGGGGCCCCCTTCATAAAGTCGATGCCTCCGGTCGCATTCATCGTCGCAGCCATCGGCTTGCTTGTGGTTTGGGCCGTCTTTGTCCCGATGGTGGTGGCAATTAATATTCAGTCGCTCAGTGCTGTCGTGAAGAAAGTCAGAGCAGGCGAAAGAGAGAATTTGGGTAAGTTCTGAGTCCTGATGCTTTTTGTGGCCCTCCACTCGCACAGATGCCAGTGCAAATGCTAGTATCAGAGATGGAGTATTTTGTGGCGTCTCATGCAGCTGTTAGAGGGCACACATATGTTACTATAAGCCTTGCAGCTGCGTTACTGTACGGGATGAATGGGGTGGGAGAGTTTCTTGGTATTTCTCGTCTTGTCTCGGTACGATTTTCTCTCCAGGTGCCGATATAATTCTTCGCGCCCGCGAATGGATGGAAAATAACTTATTTTTTTGCGCTCCACCTGCCAAGGATGAAAGCCAAATTGAAGAGGTAATGAAATTTTAAGAGGGCCGCCGAACGCTAGAGTAGGGCGTCAGTAGACATCAGTGTCGGAGCTTCGTTTGTGGAGTTGGCGCACACTTCTGTGCAAAAGCAGACAATGCACCCGAGCCGTAGAGCTTGTGAGACACATTTACACTGCATTTCGGTCTACATAATGGGTTCTCTGCTTCAGGAGCTGCAGGAGAGAGCTAGACTTGGGGAGGCTGAGGCAGATGCGAAGATGCGCGAAGAACGAGCGGAAAAGGAGCGCACTAGCGTGTCGGAGGCAGAGGACACGGCGGCTGTTGAGTACAGGAAGCTAGCAGCCGCTTTCATTCCGTTCATTGTCATTTTCTCTTTGGGTATTTGCTTCCTCTGCGACACCCCCCGCGTTCACCGCGAATTCAGCAAAGCCATCGAACAGATGATGCAGCCGTTCGCCACGAGCGACCCCTTCACGACCCGAGATGCCAACGTGGCGGCCCCGCCTGTATGGATGATATCTCGCCCGGAGTGCGGCACAAGCTCGAAGAGCTTTCCTGCTAACCAACCCCAAGTGAGTGTTTATCGCAGGAGATTTAGGAATGTTTGGAAATATCATCACTGTAGCTGGGATGTTGATTCTGTTTCTCTCGCCTAGAAGCAGGTGCATGCTTACCTTTAGACGTAGGCGATCTGTCTTCTTTTTCTGTGTACGCTGTGCACTGCCATGGCTCGCTTCAGGGTATCCGGCGTATGCTGCAAATCAGCAGTGTGACGTCGCTGTCTGGGGTGTACGACTGGTTAGAGCAAGTGCTAGCTGGCCAGATCCTCAATGCGGCATTCAACTCGCCTTCTACTACGAATGCAATTCCACTTGCTAACCCTGGCGCTTTGCTGCTCCTCAAGAGGATAGACTTGGAGTGTCAGTCGTTCGAGAGCCGTGAGTCCGAGGCGCAGCTCGCCACTGGAAGATCCTCCAAAAGCCTCCCTATAGTGCAGCGTTCCATCCTCTCTGTGCACTTCTTTTGGTACTGCAGCACACTGGGCTCAGTTGCTCCGCTACCGCTCTTGCCGCGCTGCTGCTCCTTCGCCTGCCGCTGTTTCTCAGCTGCTTCCCGTATGTGAGTTGTTTTAAAATATGTTGTCTTTCCTTTGCAGTCGCTGAGCTGTATCCAGTTCGCCGCAAATATCCAGTATTTCGGAACTGGACAACCGAAACGTTTGGAGGCGGGAAATTCCAGCCCAACGCGGAGCGGGTGTACACAGTGCCGGTATACTTTTCTGGTTCAGATCCGCCAACAACCTTTGTGATTTCAGCCTCGAGATCAGGGATTCAGACGGCGGGATACAAGGGGAGGGAGAGCCTGTCTCTCCAGCAGCAGCCAACGCAGTCACTCCAAACTAGACGTCTTTCCGGGACGAATGATGACAGCAATCTACGGAGCGACGTCCACTGGAGTGCAGCGGACTTTCTAGAGATATATGTCGGCAAAACATCTATGAGGACTAAGATGGAATATCTCCGCTCCCAGAACTTCCTGGACTCGCAACTGCTGGAGTTGGAAGTCCTGTGGCTGACGTACAACGGAGACTCGAGCATGTTTGCACTTAATAAGGTCAGCGTAGTGACCGTAGCACCTGTCGCACCGAGGGCAGCGTATGGCACAGTATGGACATCTGAATGCATTGTTATCAGTATTATTATTTAGGGATATAGGGGACGATGCAAATTTCTAGCGAATTAGCATTGGGTGCATGGATTGAGCAGAGTTTCTTGTTAGGGTATGCGTGCGCTCAGGTCGTTATAACAATGAGTCAAGGCGGGCTTAAGACTTCGTTGGGTGTGACGATTGTTCCGTCCTGGCATGTACACCCTTTGGAGACGGGTGTGAGGCCGGAAGTGATCTTCATTCCTTTGGCCCTTATTTGCTTGCTAGTATACCTCTACCTGTCGTATAAGGCAGCGCAGAAACGGAAACTATACCCTCTATACCTCGTCCTGCTTGACGTGCCGCTGGCCGTCGCGTTCGCCTGCTGCTGTTTCTTCCTGTTATGTATGTACAATGTAGCGTTCGACCCAGGATGGACCGAAGAAATCAGCTCAGTATTAGCGGGTGCATCAGCAGGAAACACTGGGCATGTACCCAAATACGTTCCGGGGCCCGTCCAGCCCTGGCGGTGGCTACCCGGCAGCGCCAGCAGTAAGTCGATGAGTGGCAGTACCCCCTGTGTAGTTTAGTTGGACATAAGGGCATTTGCTGTTGCTTATGTTACACCTTCACACTCGTCTCCGTCAGAGGGCCGTTGTAGGAGGCCCCCAAAACATAGCAGCCTGCAGCCAGCAGCTTGCAGTATCAGGACCAGGTTGATCTGTTTTTTGTTTCTGCCTTGTGCTGCACTCTGCGGCATCGTTGCAGTGCCCACGCGGTCTCAGCCACCTCCGTCTGGTGAATCCCTCCTGCGATTCCTTCGTCTCCAGGAACACATTGAGATGCTTGCTAATTACCTTTTGTTCTGCAAGATATGTGCTGGGCTACTGTATGTCATCGCTGTGATCCGCTTCATCACTATGGTCCCCGCTATACCAGAGAAGATGCAGGGCCTTCGAAAGCTCCTTTCGCATCTCAATGCTGCGAAGGTGCAGACGGCATGCACTTTGTGCACCCTCTTCAGTACTTTCTTGTTATTCTCGTTGATCGGTACGCCTTCGCGTGTTTCCGCAAAAGAGTGGCGGAGGCCGCGGAATGCAGCAGATGCCCAAATGCCAGAACCTCTGTCGCACACCTTTGTGACCATTCCTAGCTGGCTTATGTCATGCAGACTACTCTAGTCGTGTATGAAAGGACAAATGACAAGCAGAAAATGGCATTCCATATCACCACCTTGCTTCGATACGCTGCGCTGCTGGCTGCAGGCTATTGCGTTCTGGGAGGCTCCTACAACGGTTTTTCGACATACGCAAATGCAATTGTCTCGTGCGTAATGTTGACGCAATCCAAATGGAACTTCAATTCAGTTATCACAATTCCGCAGCAAGGCCGCAGCATCGGCTGGCTCTTCCAAGTATTCTCTCTGGTTGTATGTGTATTCTTCTTTGGTTTCCTGAACTACATAATCCTTTCGATGATATACGTTCGGTATGTATTCACATTTTGTAGGAACTCAGGGATATTCGCACGTCGAGCAGTCTGCGCAGTCACTGATTGCACGCTTGTCCGAACAACGCTTCGTTACATGCTCCACTCTCCCACTTCACGGGACCAACCTGGGCAGGAATGAGCACCGCCTCTACCTTTCTCATATGCAGCTCACCCGCAGGCTTTGCCTTCCGAGCGCTGCCTCCCACCGTAGTGAAGGGGCAGTTTCCTGTGTTGCCAGCATGTATGCCGGTGGTACATTTCTCTCCTGTAGGCGTTACTACGTCGTGAGTATTTGCGTGAATGGGCTTTCAGATATGAATCATTGAAAGCTGAGGAGGCAGCTGAGATGCAAAGCGCACTGGAGGCCAAGTACGGCGTAGTGCAACGGAAGCGCGTGCCTCTGATGGTTAACGATACAGTGATTCTTTACTTCAAGGTGAGGCACACGTTTTAGGGCCTAAACAGTTTGGGGTACAGGGTTTCATCGTTTTATAGTCTGCGGTTTATGGTGGATATAAGGTGAGAAAGCCCAGTGTGCGTTCTCAGCAGTATGTCGCAAATCTTGTGAGTGGCTGACTGAAATTCTCAGGCCTTCGTAAAGTGTCTATCGTTGCAATCATGGGGAATAAGCACTGGCGGAGAGAAGCCGGTGAACTCGGAATTTGTGAATCTCAAGGATGAGTTCTTCATGTCCCTCAAGGAGCTCCCACTTCTGGTCAGAGAGCCAAGGAGCACTCAGGCAAGCCATGATTACTGACACAGCTCTAGCCTAGGAGTTTTGCAGCAAAATGTTGTTGCATGAAGGATGACCAAAGTGTCTTAGTGCTTTATGCATCAGGGTTTAGGGTGTTCGATGCGAATTAGAGCCAGTGATGCTGCTAATGATTCTGTTGCTGCTGCTTTTGTGGATGCGCGTGTACAGGAGTATATCAGCAAGGCGCTTCTCTCCACCCAAATTGTTCGGCTTCAGCAGTGTCTGACGGACATTGAATTCCTGCGGGCCAAACACTATTTGATCCTACACGACCTTGGCGTCATCGGTAGGCCCAGCGATTCGCAGTAATGCACCCCACTACTGCACTAGCAGACCTAGTGTGGCTGCCGATCTTAATAGTTCCAGGGATTTCCGTGTTGTTTATGCTGCCTCTTTCTGTTGGCTCCTTATGTGTTGCAGCCGAACAGATGCGGGTGCTCCGCCACGTCACTCGGCGGCAGGGGAAGTACGTGGCGGGTGTTGAAGCTGCCATCCAGCATGTGAACGATCAAATCGACGAGGTGCAGGCACGAAAGGCGTTTATTTCGCACTACATGCAGCAAGACCCAATGAACGCGAGGCAGAGAATGGGACAGCAGCAGTTGTTTGACCTAGGAATGGACGTGGGACGCCAAGCAGCCCGAAGGGCTGTTGGTAAGCACCACCCAAAGCAATCCAGAGCTGTCGATTATGCATGAGGTGGTCATTGTCAGCTGAGTTATCTGCATGCTGTGACTTCGCTGCGGCTAATCCATATGCCTGATCCTGTAGAGCAACAGCATTCGTGTGTGGTTCGTTGTGTGCTGTCGCAGTTGATCCTAAAGCTTATGTACCGGAGGAGCTCCTGGATTTGACGTCTTGGGAAGACCCGGAACGGCAGCGGATCATAGAGGAGCAGCGGTTGCAGCACCTGAAAGAGGGTTCTGCTCATCCGAATGTGCATGCGGTTCGAAAAAGACAACTCGAGGAGGAACTGTCCGAGGCAAAGAGCCCCGCAGCTACATCTCCAAAGGCTTTGACCCCCCGAATGGGGGTAGCCGGTTTACCTACCTCCCCGTCAGCCCCTCCCCAGCAGTCAGTGTACCACCTGCCAGGGGACCTCCCGTGGAATGCGATTGTTACTGATGCAAACGAGGAAACAGAGGGTCTGGCGCCTTTAAAACAGGGTGAAAGCGACACAGACGACGATGACTGGGATGTCCTGAGACAGCGGTTTGGAGGAGCCCACCAAGGCACATTTGAACTGCGGGAGAGAGGCGGAGATATCGTCGTGGTCAAGCCATTCCCTGAACCCCCAGCAGAGAGGCTGCCCATAGTAAGCATACCACAGCCTGAGAGGCGTTCCCCACCAAAGGGGGTACTGTTTGCAGAACCGGAAGAAGCGGGAAGAAACGAGCAGCAGGCGCCTTCCCCGTCACCATCTCCAACTGCAATGGCTTCAGCTGTTTCAAGTTTCTTTGCGGAGGATCCAGGCCCTCGCCCCAAAACAAACGCCCCAGAAATAGCCGAGCAAAGAGCCAGAGAGGAAAAAGCCCACGAAAGGCCTCCACAAGTCGTGCATCGGAAAAAGCCCAACCGGCGAGCGAGTGCCAGTCTCCCAACCTTCGAGGCAGGTGGCCAGGAGTACAGAATGCTGCCCCGCAACAGACGGAAAAAGCAATAGATGTAACCCCATAGCGGTCTTTCTAGCTAGCGGACAAGGCCGCTAGCTAGATATAGCAAGTTGGCAAGTCAGCTAACAGATGTCTCGATACATACCTGGTGGGACGCTTCAGACCTGGCGGCCGTACGCTTCCGCACTATACATGGGCTTATATTCACCGTGTAGTGCGTGGGTTAGTTCTTTCTTCTGCCGAGTTCGTCTGTCGAACGGTTGCCTATGCATCGCGTGGAGGGGAAAGGAACGAAGGTATGTTTCTCTGTTGCATGGAGGCAAGGGTCGTTCGGGCTGATGTCTAGGTCTCGGCCTAAGGACTGATCCGTTCGCTGTCTCTGAATTGAATTTGGAGAAGATGTGCACTGTTGCAGTTGCTGATGAGCAAACCTGGTCGTCTGAAGTTCCCGTGCAACGGAAATCTTTGGATCACCCGGGTTGCGGTGATGCTTCTTGTACGGGGGGGAGCAGATTACCGTTCAAGTACGTTTTCTCTGCTTGTTCACCATCGCCAAGGAGAAAATGCAACTTTATGTAGCGCAGAACCCAATTGTTTGTATAGCAAGCTGTGTGTGAAGGTGGCAAGCGTATCTCTATTCGCGTACAGGGTGGTTGCGGAAGGCAAACTAGGTGTTCGGCAATTGCCTGCTGTGTTAGTGTATGCAGCAGGGGGGGCCTGCCAGTACGTGCATGTAGAGTTTCCTTGCAGCATTAGTAGCAGCGAGGTGCGTTGCAACTCATCTCAGGTTACCTCATCACCCCATGCCCATGGGGAATGAAGAGAAAGTCAGCTACTTTCTGAGAACTCTTCCTTTAAGTATTTTCACTCTTTTGCAACGCAAGACAATCCTGGGATGAGATCAGGGAGTCCCGCCACAGCCTATTTCAGAAGAGGCACGATGAAACTGTTTGTATTTGAAGAGACAGCACGGATGGCGACGGAGACGTGAAGGGCTTGTTTAGGGACTTGGTTGCCGTAACAACATGATACATTCGCTGGCTCACTTACGTGCTGCTGCTGGTGATGATGATGATAGGTTACTGGGGTGATAGGTCTTGAGGGGTAGCGGACCTTTGGGCTCTATTTTGCCTTAAACTTTACTTTATCAGAGACCCAGGGATTGGGAAAGGCGTGTTTTAGTATATAGGAAGAGTGCATGTCTACACAGCCAACTCTTCGAGTCTCTGGTGAAGAGGCAAGAAGAAGCTAACTGTGTGGTTGACGTCTGGCGTATCCTATCAGATGTTTTTCATGTTGCTGCACATGTGGAGGGAATTCGTTTACCGGGGGTGTATGGGCATAAGGAAGTTGAGGGATCGTCGTGTAAATGCAGAGCAAAACACTACATTAAGGATGCGGATGTTTGAAGGGTGTTTGGGTTCCACTGAACAACGACGCCAGCGAGGTTTATTAGAGAGTTGGCTGAGCAGTGAGTGACGAGCAGCCCAGTCCTCGTGATGGCCACAATGCAGGCGACCAGCTCTTGGTGTTAATTAATAACTAATATTACAATATTTATTACTACAGTATTACAGATGTGTGCACATTTTAGAGGGCTACGCAATGCTTGGGATTCTTCTTCCTCTACGAATTTATTTTCTATGTACTGGACGTCCTGAGATTGCCGCCACTCGACAGCAGCGACCGCGGCTCTGTCCTTATAACTGCTTTTTTTAGTTTGTTCTTGACAACACACCACAAAATAAAATGCAAAATATTCGTAGAGGGAGGAGTTTTGGTTGACTTTTGGTGTAGTGGCTGCTAGTTAGTTCTGTCTTGCTGCTGTTTGCTCGTACTGGCAGTTTCTGGTTCCCGCGGGGCCGTCCCGGTTTCAGAGTATGTCGCGGTGTATCCTCAACTGTGCATCTGTTTGTTTTTTTTTGACTGAATAAACGCCAACAATGGCAATCTGCTTCCTGGGAAAGCAAAGAATCCCTGCTTAAGTCTCCCCTCTCAGCAGCAGTTTGCTGCTGCTGCTACGAAGACGTACAGCACAGGGGAGGGGTTGGGCGTCATTTTTAGCCTGTCACTTCTTTGTGGCCGTTTTCTACACGACGTTGTCAATCAAAATGTCTAGGAGGAGACTTTCAGCCCCCATGGCGCTGGAGCCGTCCTCTGGCTGCTGGCACCCAGCTGGGGGGAATTCTCTGTGGTGGCGTCACTACGGCGCTTTATCAGATCGTCTGTACGGCTCACGCTGTATGCAGAGGACGGGAACACAAGGGGGAGTGGCCTGTTGCTCCCTGCACAACATGCAGGCCTCCCAGGCGTATTTCCACCTCCCGAGCTGCTGTAGAATCAGCAAAACTTCTGCCTCAGGTCCGGCTGCTGCTGCTGTTTCTGCTGCTGCTGCTGCTTCTTCTTCTGAGGGCATGAAGACAGCACCGTGTGGCTGCAGTCGCGTGGCTATCTTCGACCTGGACGGCACCCTCATCACCACCCGCAGCGGCAAGAAGTTTCCCGTTGATGCCAACGACTGGAAACTGCTATTTGAACACCAAATTCGCGCCCAGCTGCGTCGCCTGCACGATAGCGTTAGTTATTAAAGCCCAACAGAAACACGAATGCCAACAAGCACTATTACTCGCTCTTGCTGTGGAGGAAGTGTGACGTTGCTGCTGTTACCTCTTGCTAGCAGCAGCGCGTCTGCCTCTATGCCGCCACGCTTGCTCTCGCCTTTGTGCTTCAGGATTCTCCGAATCTGCGCTCTGACAAGCAACAGCTTGCCTGCTTGTTGCTGGGGTTTAGGGTTCATCGGGTTTATGGGTTTACTGCATTTTTGTGTGTGGTTGTTGCAGGGCTATTCAATCTTCATATTGTCGAATCAGTTGGGCGTTACCCTCGGCCATGTTTCTCTGGCGGAGATGACAGCGAAAGTTGACGCATTGCTGCGCCACCTGCAGGTGCCACTCACAGCCTGTCTTTGTTGCTGCGACGACATGTACAGGAAGCCGCGACCAGCATCTGCTGCTTTCATCTTCAAGGATTTGCTGCCGCTGCTGCAGCAGCACCAACAGCAGCACCACCACCAGCAGAAAGACGCAGAGGGGCCTGCCTCCTCAGGTAAGGGTGACGCTGCTGCTGCTTCCATGGCAGCTGGCCCCTCGTCGGGGTGTACATACCCTCGGGTTTTCTTCGTGGGCGACTCTGCGGGTCGGCCTGGCGACCACAGCGCGGCAGATTTGAAGTTTGCGTTGAACGTTGGGATGCATTTTTACACCCCAGAGGAATTCTTCTTAGGCAAAGCGACGCCGCATTTGCCGCTTTTGAAGCGCAGACTGCACGGGGCGACAGAGGGTAAGCGAGAAGAGGCGAAAACGGGGGAAACGGGGCAGCAGTTGTTGATTGCAACAGACAGAAAACGTAAAAACGTCAAAGAGAAAGCAGGCGAAGCCACAGCTATCGTCTTTGATCCAATTGAACTGCTGGGAAACAACACACAGACGGCAGACTTCATGCAGCAACGGCACGGCACTCCAGCCCCGGCGAAAGGAGAAGACGACACAGCAAGTGAGGGGGGAAAGCGCCATCAGCATCAGCAGCAGCAACAGCAACAGCAACAGAAACAGGAACAACAACAGCAGCAGCAGCAAGAGAGCCCGCAGGAGCTGGTCATCCTCATAGGGGCCCCGGGGAGCGGTAAGAGCACTCTGGTTGAACGCCTGTTCCCGCATCATGCGGTGGTGCGGCAGGACGACCTGAAGGTGAAGGCCAAGTGCGTGGAGGTCTGCGAACGGCTTCTTCGTGAGGGGAGAAGTGTTGTGATAGACAGACAAAACACCACCAAAGAAGACCGACAGATATTCATTGAGCTCGCTAAGCAACACGGGAAGAACTGCAAGGTACGGGGCATCGCCCTGCTGTGGCCCAAAGAGGTGTGCCTGCACTTAGGCCTTTTCAGAAGCCTAGCAGCAGCCATAAGGAACAACAACAGCAACGGCAGCAGCAGCACCAGCAGCAACAGCAGCAGCAACAAAAGCAGCAGTAGCAACAATAGCGGCAGCAGCAAGAGGAGAGCGGCAAGCGAGGCAAGCGCGTCGTCTGACTCGCGGTATCGTTCTGTCAAAGTCCCAAAAGTTGTAATAAATACTTTTTATGCAAATGTGGAACACCCGACAGAAGAAGAAGGATTCCATCACGTGGAAATACACAAAGATCTGAACACAGACTTTCAGCTGTATGATGACTTCCGTTCTGAAGAAGAAAAACACATTTTTGGCTCCTTTTTAGATTAAACTTTTTATATCAATTCATATCCCCCGTCCTGTTGGCTATTCAATAATTTTTTCCATATATATTTCAGTGTGCTTCACAGCAGGCAAACCACACTAACTCCGTCTTGCCAGTACTGTAGACGTCGCTTTGTTGGTTCCCGTTCGTGTTTTTTGTTTTGTATATTTCGTCTATTGCCTTTGTGTTTTCTTTCCTATGTGTTTTGAAACCCATAGTCTTCATTATGCGCTGTTAAAACTCGAAAACTCCCGAAGCGTACTGTCAGCTTCATGCTCGCCGGCAACCAACATGCATCGATGAAGACAACATGAAACAAACGTCACAGTTGTATACAACGGAAGCTACAAGCCACGTCTTTGTTCACTGCGTTCATCAGTTGGCAATCACAGTGGTGCCAGCGTAGTGTTAACCTTGGGCGCAACACCCCACGACGCTAGGCATCGGGGCTACACCACTGGCGGTGGCATTCGCATGTAGTGAGTTTCTTGAGTCGACCCTACAGCTGCTTTTGTTTTCTGCTACCTCTCAATTTTTGTGGGGAGGCCGCAGCAGTACTGAAGGGCACAGCTGAGGCCCCCGTGCCAGTGGGCGGGCCCGGCGCACTGTATGTAGGTCACCGACGGGTAAGAATGCTACTGCCAATCGCAACGAGCTGCACTAGTGAGTCGACGCTCTCAGAGGTGCTCAGGATACTTGTGAATAATAAATACATTTGCAGTACTGTCAACTGGGAGGGATAAAATTTTGACACCGGCACGCTGGCTGCCTGTTTCAGATCCACCTGACGGCCCTTCGACAACTGAAACTGCTGCCTGCTCCAATTCCCATAGCCACTAAAGTGAGGCATTTCACCTACACATATCTATCGCCTGTAGGATACGGGGTAAAGTAGTTCAGCAGAAAGTGCATATTCATCTCTCATAATGCTGAAAATGAAAACTACAGCTTAAAGCATTGAGATCACCCTACAAGTTGTTGTTTAGACGGTTCCCGTAGTAACTCGCTCCCAATTCTTATATAGTTGACTTTGATGAATATATTATTCTCCAAATATGCAACTGTGTATACGTGAATACGTCTAACTGGATCTGAACTTCGCGCCGGTACATTGTGGTCAGATACGACAGAAGTGCAGCTGCACATGACTAGCATGCGTCGGCATCGCTGCAAATTCATGTAGGCTAGCCACAGCTAGCTAAGTAAGATTCCAGTTAACGACCGACACACTGATAATATCCTACGACAGTCACTTGCTCCATACATTTTACGAATCATTTTATATGCAATTTCTACACGCAGCAGGGTGAGTGGTCAAAGGAGCGGTGAGTGCAACTGAAAACTACGGGGCGCAGACATCTGCAGACTCCATATCCATTAACTCGATAAATTGTGCTGTACAAGTCCGATGTACACCTCATAAGCACTGAATCAAATTTATTTACATGGTACACAACTGCGAACAATGAAGATGTACCGTTGTAGAAAACGTGAAAGCACACACACTCAAGCCAACACGCCTGCCTTTCAGGAGCACTGCGGCCACATTGCCGGGGTTCAAAGATGTTTAAAAACTGAACTGGAGTAATAAAATTCCTAGTTCATTCATTCAACCAACTCGCTGCTGCCGATGTCGACCACGCAGTTCCCGCCTCCTTTCCGAGAGGAAAGCGGCAGTTCCATTGGCTACAGTGGCCTTGAACGACAGTCGTTGGGCCTCATATTCAGTAAAAGGAGAGGAACAGGGGAAATAAGTGTACAAGCAAACAGTAAAGTGTAGAAGATCTGTAATTTAACTAGAAAAGGGTGCAGCGGCATGGTTGTGGCCCCGCGAAAGCCACAAGCCATTCGTCCAGTTAGCCCATGTGAGTGAGGGGGCTGCGAGTGAAGAGTTCTCATTCTAGCGAGTTTTTGCCTCATCTTAGAGAGGCGTTTCATAACAATTATAATCAACTTCGTGACTTGCTGATTACAGTTAGCTGCGGGCTGTGCTCGTTCGCGCCTTGACGCCCCCCTCGAGGCGAGTGAATGATGCATGAAGAACAGGTGAGGTTGAGGATCCCTGTTCAGCCAGCCTTCTAACCCCCCTTCTGCTCCTCTTTGACCTTATTGATGAATTTTTTGCTTTATTTAGCGCCCGCGAAAGCAGTATGTAAGCTGGGGGCTTCCAGGCGACTCAAGAACTGGCAGCGGTCCGGTCTACGACCGTTTGCCTGTGTTTGCGCTGCTGTTGGCGTTGGTGTTGGTGATGGGTAGACGGATGTTGGGGAGAATTCTATTAGATATCCTTCTTTAAAGATGCCCTTCTGGCGAAGACGAGGCCAGGCGAAGGCCAACCAAAATGCAGCTCACGACTCCACAACAGCAGCCAGCAACACTAACAACCCCCCAATAACGAAGGAAGACCGCCGTCTGAGTAGTTTGGTTGGCGAACACAAGGATCAGAAGGAGGAACATTTGGGCGATGCTGGCGATGGCGCTAAACAGGTCGTCTTGGTGCCTGCAGCTGCCCATGGAGCCTCTCCGACTACCACCATGGAGGCGCGGCCTTCGCTTTTGAGGCGAACAATTTCGAGCATCTCGACGAAAGTCTTTGCAAAGATGAGATCAGATAGCAGCAAAGTCGCAGGACAGCAGACAAACCCAGATGGGCAGGCGGGCATTGCGAAGACAACAAGCGGGGGTAAACATCCAAATGAAACACCGGCTTCGGCTGAGACGGATCATGTACATAGGAGAGGTTTCCACGGGTTCCGCAGTCGCTTTCACACGACCCATCACGCGCCTGCAGCTCAAGCAGCCCCTGCCCAGTACGGCGCTGCTGACCACGGACTGCACCTGCCGCTGCATCTGCGTCATATTCATTTTCCCCACCTTCTGCACCACACCGCGCAGCATAGCGGCACTTCGAATGGAGAGCGGGAGACGGACGTCATGATGGTGCTTCAGGCGGCCGCGAGTCGGGCAACAAAAATCGTCGAACGCGCAAGAGGAGAGCGCGAAGTCCTGATGGAAAGAGCTCGTGAAGAGGCCGAACAGGAAATCAAAGAGCTCAGGTGCAGCTCCTATTCTTTCAAGCAGCTTATCATTCATTGTGCATACGCACGTTCTGTTGTTTTTCCCCCATGAACATGACACACCAGTGCTCTTGAACATTTTGCCTATGCTTCCGTCAGACATGCTCTCAGCCCTGCGGCATGTGCATTTGCAGACGTCAGCTCGAAGAACAAGCCCTGAAAGATCAGGAAAAAGATAACGGAGAAGACGCCCTCCGCGCGGCACTTGCGGAAGAGGACGCCCGGATGCGCCATATACTTGAGCAAGCTCCTGAGCATATGGAAGCTTCTGTATCCCTATGCGTGGGTGCGTTTCTGACGTGTATTCATGGCAGAGAAATCTGCGTAGTTCGTGCGCTGTCGTAGACGAGGCATGTACTAGGAGCGTCGAGTTCTCGTGGACTGCGCTTGCCCTTGTACAACTCGGCGCGGAAGATTAGATTTGGCAGAACGAGCAATCATTCGTTCAGATGTCTCTGAACTTGTTTATTATGTGCAGCCCACGTTCTCAACGTCGACACATCCCTAGCTCCAGACCGCCGGGGAGCGCTGCGCAATTTGTAAGTCAACCGCTGCACACGTATGCACGTCGAGTCCGCAGTTGTTGAAAGGCGTCTAGGAAATATCAGTTTAGGTGTGGGTCGACTTTCTTTGCATTTCAGGAGCAAGAATCCTCCAAGTTTCCTTCGGAAGAGCAACGCTAAGAGCTACCCGTCAGAGCGTAGAGTGCAAGCAGACCGCATCACGAAGGGCAAACGGAACATGCATGTTTGGGACTTTTCTTGGAATGCCGATGGTCCCGACTATCAACTCGTTGACAACACCTCGCCAGAGCAAGAAGATCTGTATGCTACAATACTGGGCGACCGGACACTGAAGGAAGGCGAAGAAGTTCAGATTGATTTCGACGAATTGGAGGCGCCTGCCCCCCTTGGGCGTTTTTCATCGGCCATGCAAAGTATTCATACCACATGCGGTTGCCTTCTTGGATAGGCACTTGTCACATAAACATCACTTAATCTCCCAAAGAATCCCTAACGAGTGAAAACGTTTGCTCTGATCAGACCCTATGGGCTTCTTGCAACACAGCAGTAATATCCAACAGCTGGCGTTCGTGCCATCTGGAGACTATGTTTAAACGTGTTTTTGCGAACATCGTGGTTTTTGCTGCATTTCGGTTTCCTTTTTGTGGAAACGCAGAGGAAGGATGATGCGCTGAAGCATTCTTTTGTAACATCAGATTATTAGTTCCGTTGAGGCCGGTGCAGGTGTTGTGGGATTTGCTTAGTCACCTCAAGATGCCAAGCTTGCTGTGGTCTTTGCAAACGTCCTGCTCCGAATTAGGACCGCAGTGAAGTTCGGGAGAAGATGGCGAGTGTGTTGCTTCTCAAGTAGGGATGGAGTTTGCTCGTGTCTGCTCTGGAGGCAGGCACTTGCGACGCGGAAGGATTCGGCCGCACGTGTGTGTTCCGCAACGCATCGCTCAAAAAGTTTAGGAAGACATGCTGTCAAATGCATGTTTCTTTCAAAACGCTTGGGATAACTTGTCTATTTTGCTCGCTTGTGCCGCAACGCAGCAGAAGGTTTCCCGCCAGATTTCTGCTGCTGCGGGAGACTTTTATAGCAGCCTGTCGTGGCTCTGTAGTTTCAAGGTACTCTTCAAAAGTGCAAGCATATTACCAGTTTTGGAAATATCAAGCATTTCAAAAGAGGCGTCTGTCACTCGTTTTGCATGGAAAGCGGTTAGTACTAGTAGAAAGTAGGCTGCGCACTGGCCGTTCACATTCGGCAGTTTTCGTTCTTCAGATGTGTAGGCTAGTGGCCAAAGCCTTTCGGTATCAGCGTGTTCAAATACGTGAGCAGAGCTAGTCGTTCTATAAACAGTTTAGAGCCATTTTTCGCTGTGTGGAAGGGTCGGCTACGAATGCGCTGGTCACAAATTTCGAGAGGAAACGGCGGAGAGAACAACAGCATGCTTGTAGCACAAATGTTGTGCCGGAATACGGTGAATGTATTCCTTCAAAATATTGCATCAAGGAAAGCTTCAGAATTCGTAGACACAAAAAAAGTGAGCAGCGGAGAAATGAGCTTTTTACGTTTGGTGTACAGACACCTGGACCTTGCAGTACATCAGCTTCACTACGCCTTGCCACATTTGGCTAAGTTCAGCGCGACTTCGTCCTTCACTTTTTGCACGGTTCCTTTATCGCGCGTTACTGTTCGGATTTGATATTGGATCCTTTACAAGATTTCCGAAGATGAGGGACCCATCTGGAGCGAAGGCTAAAGTCGAAACCTTTAAATGTAAGGTGCTTTGTCCTTTTGAGTTTTAACGAAACTGATTCATCATTTCCTTCACTTGCAGATGCGGTAAGATTGTCACCAACCCACGGACTGGTCGTTCTCAGAGGACACTCGTCCCTGTTGCCATTGGACGATTTGCAATAAATTTTCTGAACCTGTATAACCTGACAGGCGACAATATTGACCGCCGTGTCCGGGGCAACAGCCCTAGCCTTCGCCGCAGTGGTCGCCACAAACTTCATGAAGCCTTGTGACGTCCCACTAAGTAAGTCCAGAATAAGTTGGCCTGCATTACACAAACATATCTGAATTCGCGTAACTCAGATCTTTGGCTTGTCGGGGCCATCATGCTCGTAAGCTATTCAAGTTCTTACTGTACAAAGCACCAGTGAAGAACACTAGCACAGAGCTTACCAGCGACATACGCGGCCGACAGAATGAAGAAACAACATGGCTTCTCAGCAACTGTAGGTCGATTATCAGTCCCTTCAGTAGCAAATGCATACTCCATTCCCGTATTTTCAGTTGTGGTTTGAAATAGCCCTCTTGGCCCTCTCTTTTATATGGATGGCTGCCGGAACCGTAATGGTGAGTCTACCTTAACATTTATTTACGCGCCTGCTCCATTCATCGACGGCACGACAGATAAACATGTCTACAACTTGCGAAGTAACCGCCCCGGTACCCTGGTGGACAACGTTTATCACGGTAGGTGCCAAGACGCGAGCTTCACTGGATTTAACAGCCGTCCTCTAACACGAGATTTCAGGTCTCTCTGTTCTGGTGTGGTTCGATTGGAGGCGTATTCTTCCTCCTGTCGATCGTTCTCATACCCATGTTCCTGGCTGGAGGAAGAACCCCCCAGATCCTGTGATCGACAAATTGAGGAACTACTTCCTGGGACTTGAGCACAGTTAATGCTGCTGCTTGAGGCCACTCTTGACGTACTATTCCGCTACTTCGATGTGTCGTTGTGTACCGTGTTGTCAGTTGACGAAGCTACTGTGCTAGCATTCGCCGCGACAAAAAAAGGACTCCGAACGATTTCCTTTCACAGTGCACCGGTGCACTTGTGTGTCCGTGAATAATGCGAACCTTCTTGAACATTAATTACTGAACATGCGCCTACGTTCGCGCAACACAATGCTTAGATTCAGCAGCAAAATTTCCCTCGGGTATCACAAAATCTACAAGTTGCCCTGAGCATCCAGTCACACGCACTGTATAAAGCCACATTGAGAGGCGGAGCATAAATCTGGCAGGATTACAATGATGCTAGTACTAAGTAGTTGGCAGATTTGAGAAGTTACCGTTGTGAAAAACGCATCGTCGAGGGGAGAAGAGTAATAGCGCTTTCGAATCGTAGATTACGGCTCCTCTGCACCGCCGCACTGCTGCCTCAGCCGCCTCAAAAGATGCGAAGCGCAAAACGAACAAGCCATCGTTGTTCAGGACCAAGCGGTTCATCAAAAACCTGCATCGCAACAGAACGCACGCGGAAGACATGAAGATTGTCATGCAGGCAGGCACGCAGTAGAAGTAGGTACCAGAGAAACGTTAGCGAAGACCAGTGGTGTTAAGCGGCAAGCGCACTTCTTCACAACGTGGCGGCCTATGTCAAACTTTTTTCCAGGAACATTGGGCACTCTGCCTGTGTTCTGGTGGTATCGCATCTCCTCCTGAACAGTCAAAACAGGTGCAAAAGAAACAAACGCAGAAATGTTGCGTAGACATCCAATCATGCAACCGCCCTAAGTGGGCCATTGGACATGACAGTCCATATGGAAGTTGTTCGAAGTTAAGGGACGGTAAGCTTACATCTGTCTGCAGCCCAACGATGCTTGGAATGAAGATGCTTTCGTCAGCTATGGCCGAAACAACGTCGCGTGATTCGCAGTAGCCGTTGCAGCCAGTGGCACTTGCCGATTTTTCCAGTAGTCCCTGCTCGCAACTCTCCACTACTTGGCTCCTGGTCGTATTTAGAGACACTTCGCTGATATCGTTCCCCAAAGTGTCCTTCCACGCTAACGAACTGCTTGTCTCTGCGTTTCTGCTCGGCCGCAACCTATCTTTCCCTTGCTTGGTACGCTCCGTCGGTGAGCCGTGGTCAACAGCCTCTGCGTTGGGCATCTTTTTGTGTAATGGCAACAAAAAGAATGGCTCCGCTGCGTCTGAGCGAGCTTCGACAAGCAGCTGTTCATACCCGAACAACTTTGGGTTCGTCATGCGGATGCGGCACACCCCAGGATAATGAGAAGTGGCTTCTTCATCGTGGACCAGCGCAAAGGATAGTATGCGGGCAATTTCTGCGGCAGCAAATCAACCACAGCGCAACAACTGCCGATCGCAGGAACTTGAACTGTGCTATTGTGCTAGTTCGTATTTGATCAGGTCCATTGAATGCCAAGTGATAGTGCAATGTATTCTCCTACCATCAGGGGTAAGGATAAAGGGCAGGTTTGTTGCAATCAGCGTTGTCTTGACTGCAGCATCTTCAGGGTATACCAGTCGGTCGATGCATGGTACCCCGAACGTGCGAAGGTAAGTGCTGCATGCATTCTGTTTCTCTTGGGTTGAGCTGAACTCTGCAGACAGTGGAAAGAAGCGGTCAGGAACATGGACGTTTTAGAACGACAACCGATGCGTAAACTATTTCATATATGCGGAAGCCCCTATCCTGCGGACTAGATGAACACTGCTAATAGCGCATGCCAAGATAATCTTACCAGCGAGAGCGAAAATTGGGGAAAACCGTTTCTCTAGTTTGTCGCTAATGGCTTGTTCGCCTTTGGCCTGGAGTGTATTCTGAGCAGAAGCAATCAGTCACACAGACGTGCGACTTTCAGTGCGTTGCCGCTGTATATCTTGAGGGCAATCTGACGGGCCAGAGCGAAGAGAGCTCTTAGACTCACATCCTCCGTTTGATCGAGAGTTCGCAAGCGGTCGTCGAATATTTCCAGCTCCTGGATCTTCCCACAGCCCGAAAATGCCTGCAGCGCAGATGTCAGTGGAGGCCCTGGCTTTATCGTGTATTCGGCTAAGTGCTCTGCTGCAGAGCGACAGATGGGGAGAGAAGAAGCTCTCGCCAGACCTTGCAAAGAATGTCTGTCAGGATATGCTTGGGTGCGTGGGGGAGGTTTGAGAGGAAGACCAGATTCTTAGATCGGCTGCCTGGCTCTGGAAGCGATGGGTCTTGCCAGTCTACGACGAATTCCCCAATTCTTTTCTGCGTTATCATTTCACAACACAACCAACAAGCAGCTCGCTCGGGTTTTTGCTGCGCCCTGCATTACTAAGTGCCTGCGTCTGTCTCTCCTTAAATTCACGTCAATTAAATTGCTGCAATTCATTTGTCGTACTAAATGCGTTCAAACAAATTCGTGTTAATTAGCTGTTTCATGTAATTTGTTGTACTCAACTTGTGTATGAGGAGGCGATCTGTCTGTGTGTGCGTGTGTGTGTGTGTGTGTGTGTGTGTGTGTGTGTGTGTGTGTGTGTGTGTGTATGTATGATTTGCTGTGTATTTGTTTTTCTTTTTCTTGCCTCTGTCAAGCGCGTTGGCGTTGGCGGCCTCGTGGCGATTTCCCTGTGGGGGTTTAGGATGTCGTCAGGCGGTGGGTCTGCAGATCCGAGTTTGTTTGTACAGCCGTCAGCATCAGTGAGCGCGGCGCTTCGCTGCGACGCTTTGCTTCGATGCTGAGAACGCAGCAGCTCCGCCCCCACTGTGTAGTCCCCCATAATAGACTGCGGCATCCCATCACCGACTTCGTCTTGCTGCAGGCCACACACAACACGCATGTTGCATGCTTGCATGCACGCATGCATGTATGCATGCATGTATGCATGCATGTGTGCATGCATGTATACAGCATGCATACAGCATACAGCATGCAGCATGAAGCGTGAAACCATCAGGTTGCCATCCATACGCGGTGCATAAACAGTGTTTCAGTTGATACAATAGAACAAGCATCTATCACTCTCTATTCTGCACGATGCATGCATGCAGCACGCGGCTAGGACAAGAATAGTTTGCCTATGCAAGAAAAGATGCTGTATGTGATGTCATATGAATTCTCTCTCTAAGCTGTTGTTTATACCGTCGCCAGGCGTTCTGTTGTGGCCTTCGAGAGACGCAAGAAATGGTGGGGGTCGACGACATCTAAACTCGCCGCTAGGAGTTTCGTCAGCTCGCAGCGGTGCTCCGCTGCATGCAGAAACAAATAAATAAAAAAAAGGAAATGTAAAAAGATAAAATTAGGGTGACAGCATCAGCATTGCCATACAAAGACATATAATAACAACAATACGCAGAAGAAGTATAATATCCATATATAGTAACAACAGAGTATTATAATTGCGCTTTCTTGTTACTATATCTAGTATTATAATTGTGCTAAGAGATATTCATAATACAAACACACAGCAACCCTAAACCAGAATAATAATAATACTAAGAGATAATAGTGTAATACGGCACAGTAGCATCCATAGCAACAGCAGCAGCAGCAACAACAGCAACAACAAAAACAACAAAAAGAATAATAATAATAATTGTGATAATAATACTTACTGGGTACAATTTTCCCGATATCTCTGATGACAGCGAGCTTGTTCTGCTGCCTGGGTTTTAGTTTCAGGTTTCTGTAGACCTTGAGGCGGATGGCGACGCGCTCAAGCTGGCGTTCAGTGAGCAGCTCTGCACATTTGCGAACGAAATTTGAGTAACTGAAGCCACAAGTAGCTGAATCTGGTTCTGGCTTCTTTAGTTTCTGCTTTTTTCTCTTTTTACTGTCCTGCTCGGTCTCGTATGGTGGTGGCTTGGCAGTCGTGGCGGCTCCGTGAGGCTCATGAGCAGCCGTTGGCTCCGCCTGTATCTTCGCAGGCGAGGAATTCAACTCAGCTGCTGAATGCAGCAGCAAACGCCCAGCAGGAGAAGAAGGGGTTTCCCCCTCTCCTCGTGGCGCAGCGGTTTGAACGAACGGCCACAGACGCGCTCGTAGATTCCCTCGGTATTCTCCGTATAAAGGTGTATGCTGGAGCCCACAGAAACATACAGATCTACGTCTTACTATGCAAGAACGCCAATCTGCCACCAGACGAGGATTCTGCTGCTGAGGCCCCAGGTGAAAACCGGATGTAAGCAGCACCCGCGCGGGTCCATCGCCGACTGCGGGGCTTAATGAAGAAAACTTTTGCAGCATCTTGAACGCCTTGCATGCAAAAAACAATAAACACAAAAATAAATACAAAAAAAGTCAAAGAGAAAACGGCGAGGCCGCCCCACGACGACGTCGACTCGACACCACCGATGCTTCCCTAGCCAATGGGGCCCCCAAACAGGGCCCCCAGCGAAAACTTCTTGCCGTTTATGGTGTATTTCTTTATTTTCACGCTAAGTGGCAAACTAATACTCAAAATTTATTCAAAAAAAGAGAAAGTTTGCACTAAGGAATGCCGAAGGCACCGCCGCTGTGCGAATGCCCATGAAGACACCACCAGGCCATGCGTGAGCCGACGACTCGGCGATCATAAGAAACCCCCAAATTAAAAGAAAATAAACTCGAAATATAAATTTAATTTTATTTTTAAAACTATATTTGAATATTTGCTCGCATTTACACCCTCAGATACCGCTTCACCTTGAGATGGCGCCGCGAACTCTCGTTAGCTTTCTTCTTTTCCTCTCTGGCAATTCACAGCGTACGCAGTTGCTGGTTATTCTTCTTAGTTTCTGTAGAACGTGATGATAAAAATATGTAAATATATATAAATATATATATATGTATATATACATATATATATATATATATATATATATATATATATATATATATATATATATATATAAATTTAGAGGAGAAAGGGGAGATGAAAATGTGGGATCTTTGGCTTAAATGCTGTTCATTTGTTTATAACAAATGCCGTATATCTCTCGCAGTGAAAAAATTTGTTTTTAGAGGATGCAGATAATACATATTCTATTTATGTGGTTTCTTTCCCCCAGCTGTGTTGCCCCGGCCTCGCGTCTCCTCTGTATATATATATATATATATATATATATATATATATATATATAGCTGCAG